GTACAGTGTAATCCAAGCAGAACTTTGCTATTATTATTACTTTATGCAGCATTACAAGGTTACTGAGGTGCAGTGTTTCATAGTCTACAGCTTTTCCCGCTGGGAGGAGCGCTCACCAAACACCACAGACCCATCCCGACCCCCGTCCTGAGCATCAAGACCCCCCATGAGGAGCCACAGCCCCCCCAATATTGCTTCCCTAAGCACAGCCCCCGCGGGGGCTGCTCACAGCAGGGGCAGCCGTGCCCTAAGTCCTCAGATGGCTCTGACTTTGCTTCATTTTGGGAGCTGGCAGCACCCAAGGACACCCCGCAGCAGCTGTGGGTTCCCAAATCCTCCTGCACCCCTCAATGTGGGGGTTGAACTGCATCGACTCCATCCCCGCCTACTGCTGGATTTGGTGATCGCTCCTCAGCGCCTCTCCCTGCCCATGAAAACACCTTCCTGGTTATTCTTGGTCCTGACTCCGAGAAGCTGATGCTTGAAGGTACCTGGAAGGCACCATCAAACGCTTGGCATCTTCATTGATTTATCTTCGATTTTCAGCCACGCACAACTGGAAAATAAAAATCTACAGCACCGTCTTCTAAAAAAGGCACTTTCTGAGGACTGTCTTGCTTAAAAAAAAATAAAGATCACTCCAAGATTTCAACAGCGGGACTGCTCTGTTTTACAAGGACCCTATGTTAACTACTAACTACCCGTGTCAGGCCAGGGGGGCCTCAGACGAGCTTTGACAAGGCCAGGGCAGGTCGGGTGGGATGGGAAGCGATGGGGTCTCTCCATCAGCTCCAGGTTTTCCCGGTGTTTTCCTTCACAAGCCTCTCCCCTGCAACCCCTTTGCTCCCCACGCACCGGCGCCTGCTCAGGGACAGCCACTGGGGCTGGGTTAGTGTTGGGTTGGGGCTGGGTTTAGGATTCCCCAGACTCTGCTCCCATCCCGTTCACACCGCGACTGCTCAACACAAAATCCTCTACCAGCAGAAAGCATCGATTGGCTCAAGCACTAACCACCATTCTTTCAGATTTACCAAAAACGATGAGCAAATTGGCTGAGTTTACCTCCTCTCGTTCTATTTAAACACGTGCCCCATAGCTAATACCCCAAACGGCTCTGAAGTACCGCCTATGGGTGGAAAAGACAGACGGGAATCTTCCCCTTTGACATCCCGAAGGGTTTTCACTGATCCCATCAACTGCCAGCAGCAGCACCAAGCCCACAGCACTGAAAGGGGCAGAGCCTCTGCCAGGCGTGCCCAGAGACCAAGGGGGCCCTTTAGAAACGACCATCTCCGAAAACTGAATGTCCTGTCTCAACGAACACGATCTGAGCTTTCGACTCCTTGGTTAGAAAAGTGCTTGGAGTAAGGCTCTAAACCCTCAGCTCACAAAAACAGGGAAAATATCAAAAGAGGACGAGCTCTGAAGGAAGTGTAAAAACAAAAAGGCCTCAAGCTTTCGTAAGTGTAGGCTGAGCTTGGAGTGAGCTTCACCACCAGTAGAAAACCAGCACTCACAGCTGGAATTTGTACAGAAGGGACTATCTGGTGTCTTATGTCGAGCATTTTATAGGACAAAAATGAAGTGAAAATAGCTTAGGACCAATAGCATTTTGAACGAGTCTGACTGACAGCTTCCAGAAACCCATTTTACTCCTGAAAACCATTTCTGTGGCCAAAGAAACTTCCACAGCGATGCCAGAACGAACCCTACAAGAACTTTTGGACACGTTCACCAGATGACACACTCAACAGTAACACAGCGATCCTGAGTTAAACGGCCACAGCTGAAGTGCCCTACAACCAAAAACCCAGCTACGTACAGCGGCGTCAGTCGCTCTGTCGGCGCGTGGGGCAAATTTAACACCTCGGCTCCAAAACGCCCTCGCTTCTCCCCAAATCTGGCTCTACCCCGGCCGGATCGCAGGCCTCGTGCGAGCTCCCCCCGCGGAAGCGCTCAGTGGCACTTTTCATCACCAGCGAGCTCTCGGTGCAGTCAAGGGGTTGGGCGACGCGGGACCGGGAACCGCTTTTACAGCCACAGGGGAACGGAGGAGGCCAGAACGTCTGCAAGGTAAAAGTCAAGCCGTCAGCCTTCGCCCGCGTCCCTCTTTGGACCATCCCCAGACAAGGATCTGGTGACGCCACTCGCCCCCTCCCCAAACAGCACATCACATTTGAGACTCCTTTTTTTGTTTGTTTTTTGTTTTTTTTTTTGTCTTTTTAAAGGAGAGCAGGTACAAAAATAAAAGAAATCCATATACTCTGAAAATATACTGGAAACTGCCACCACAGATGAGGTACCATTTATCCCGACCCCCCACCCCCAAACTGCAAACATCAAAATATATATGTTTTTAAACAAAGGAAGAATATCTGGCTATTTAATCTCAGTTAAAATGACAGCACCCTTTGTTACACTTGATATTTCACACCATTAATTCTCTTTTGAAAAAAAAACAACCAACCAAGATATCTAACTAACCTTGATTCCTTGCTTCTCTCCTTGTTCCTTAGTGCAGTAATTGTCCATCTCCACTTAAATAAATATAGCAGCTACAGCATCATAAATGTGTGGCCCTCACAACGCCAGTAACTTGATATGGTAATACAAAGAAGTATCGGCACTTTACGTAGATATTTGCGAAACCAAGAATGGAGATTGAAACTCCCAGACACCCTTCACATGAAAACCAGGGCACACGCCAGCTCGACGGGTCATTTACATCACTTTCCCAATGAAGTTTCTTTCATTTCTTTTTTTTTTTGGTGAAAGTAGCAAGCGAAAAAGCTTCTCAGATCAGAGTGGCTGAGCGTGGGCAGGGTGAGAAGCACACAGCGCCTTTGAAAGGAGCGCTACGGGACTTTGTATAAAGGCATTTCCATCCAAACGCCAGAAATCCACAAGAAGGCTTTGTAAAAGAGGGTTCTTTTTAAAAAAACAAATAAATCTCCATTTTAAAACCATTTTCTGTTACCCTGAACCTTTTATAAGCACAGCCACTGGCTGGAGTGCTGCTGAGAGCAACCCGACCGCCCGCAGAGCCCGAAATCCATCAGAGAGGGGCACTGGGAGCCACCGCTCCCTGCAGCTCCCAAGGGCGCTGGGAGGTCCCGGAGCGGGGGGCGAAGGCGTGGGGTCCCCTTCACCACCCCGAGGACCCCCAGGCGCTGCTCCCCGTCACCGCTATTTCCAGTGCAACTTCAGCTCTGCGAAGCGAGTTCGGTGCGTTACCGCCCCTGACGCTGGGAGGTAACGTCCGCACGGCCGTCCGGTACAGCTCTTTGAGACGGCGGCGTGAGCAGCGCTACGGACTTGTCAGTACCGCGTACGGACGCACAGAATACAGTACTGGGTTTTCTGGCAGAAAAACGGGTGAGATTCGTGCCTTCTGAAGCAGAACGGGCTCAGATCTTAGGCTCAAAATACAGCATATTGGCAAAGAGTGGATTTCGGGGGGATGGCGGGAGATGGGCTGCGGGAACCAAGCGCTGGTTTTCATGTGGAGAGCAGGGGGAGCTCGGGAGGGCTGGGATAACAGCAATGCCCATACAAACGATCTGCAGTAAATCTACTATGAACCAGTGCAAATAAAACAGTCCAAAATGCAGTTCACGAGTTTACAAAGTGCAAAACTCCCCAGGCCCCTCGCTGAACAAACGCTCGGCTCTGACATCTTCAATATTGTTTTACCTCTAAAGTGGAATGAAAGAGTCCCGCTGATCCGCTTCACATTTCAGTGATTTAACACCTTAGAACTATCCCAGCCCTCTTTGTTTGCAAAGTGAAATGAAGTTACCAATAACTTAATTTTAAAAGGAAAGTCATTATCAAAGAGGAAAAAAGCCTAAAAACTCTTATTAGTTCCAGACATTTCACCCATGTCCAGGAGATTGAACTGAGCATGTAAAAACTAAGGTCTTAATAAAAAAAATCCTTTCTGTTTAATTCAAATATCCTCCACAATTCAAAGCCAAAAATACGGCCGGTTCCTTTGTTAAATCAAAATGCTGCAGTGACAAGGAAAGCTCGCAGGATTCTAGAAGCGTTTTTGCTATTTCTTTTTTTGATTTAAAAAAGGAAAATTCAAGATTCCTTCTGACTATAAAACTTTCCTTTCAAAATTAAGGCTTTTACTTTGTCCTCTTAAGATCATGGAGGTGTCCATTCTTCCACAGTCAGTGGGACAAACACTGCTTCAGCACAGCCCAATGGACACAGTTTTCATTTAGAACGCTTATTGCACTAAAAGATAGCAAAACAAGTTGTCAGTTCTTTAAAAATAAACACGGTTACATTTCTAAAAAATAAAAGTTGCCGTTGACCATATGTTCTGTAATAATTAAATTAAAGCATTATTATTACTCTAATAAATATAAAAGAAACAAAAGGAAGCTAAACTTCAAAAACACATACGTCTGAAATCACATTAAGGTGTGAGAGGCAGCAAGTAAACTCGCATTTTGCTTTTATCCAAAAAGACCTCAGCTCTAAAGTTTCAGTTCTGGTGTTTACTGAGTGCGATCCCGTAACGCCCCGAGCTCACACGAAGCTTCAACGTTATTTGACTCGCCAGATAGGAAAGAATTGAAACTTTTGGACTAGGTAAAACAGCAGCTTTAGTAAATTCACCAGGGAGCAGGAAGGTTTGGATCGCTACTGCCTGCACGCCAGACCACGAGCGGGTTTGCTTTTTAGAAGGAGCCGTTGGAGCGGAGAACTCCAAAGCTGTGAAGAAAGACACAAAGGCAGCAGTTGGCTGAATTAGGTCCAAATTAGTGGGTTAGTGTGCAAAGCATCTTCCCCCGCTCAATCTTTTCCTAGCTAGAGCTGTACATTCAAATGTACTTTGATATGTTCACATTCGAATGCTGGATGGCAATACTGAAACGTTCCTCCGTGCACCGGGGTTAAAAGCCCAATCATTTTTTGCACACTTCTGTCCCCTGAACAATCATTGCGACTGTTCCTATAAAGGTGGTTCGCTTGTTTTTTGTTTTAAATTACACCGTTGATTTTTTTATTTTATTGTATTATTATATATTTTTTTTTTTTTTGCAAAGAGAGTTGTGCTGCCGAGCAACTTGAGGTAAAGGCATAAGAGGGTTAAACTACGAGAAATTAAAATAAAATAAAACAAAAACAACAGATGATGGCGGCGCTTCCGACCGGAGCCCGCGCCAAAAAAGCAGTTGGCTGGTTTCATATTGCATAATAGTGCTGTGTTCCTCGATGAAGTAAACAATCCTCCTGGTGTCAATTTAAGGGTCAGCCTCTCGCCCCTGCACAGCGGCAACTCCAGCGCGATCGGAGGCGCACCCCATAAACCAACCCCACTGGAAACATACATTGTATGTGGCTTAATTTCGCAGTTCTTCCTCTCGGTGAGTACGCTCCCGTTGCGTTGACTTAAGCGAAGTACATCGTGCGTAAGGTGTCTTGGTGAATTTGTACAGCCTTCGCGAGGGCCTGCGGGTCTCTCCCGTTGCTCTGTCCTGAAACATGGCTTCCTTCAGCACTGCAGGGAAAGGAGAGACACGAGCAGGATGTAAACGATGTTAATTCGGATCAAACGCCGCCTTCGCGTCTCTGCGGTGCTCAGGAAGGCAAACGGCAATAGTAACAGAATTGGATGGTGAGAAAGATCTACTTGTCTGCTCAGACCCCAACCTCAAGGCTCGTGACAAATCCCCTTACCTCAGCTGCTCGGTTTGTTCATCTACAGATAAGCCCGTTACGGGTTACAGTTATGGCTTGGAGCTTCTGAAACACTCCTGACGTACGAAGCGGAGTTAGAGAAGTGGAAGGCTCTTCGCATTTGCTTCATTCATGACTAATCTAACTCTAAAGCGAAAAAAACCAAATGCATGGCCTGGTTCCCTCAGACCACATCAAAGTAACACCACAATACTCTGTTAAATCAAACTTCTTTTAATCTGAGTGTTCTCCAGCAGAATCCAGCGACCCACTCTTGTCTGATACTGAGCAGCAGCTGTCAGGAACGATTGTGTTAAGCCTAGTACCAGAAGTAACAAAAATTAACTACAAAGCGAGCAGTAATTATCTATTAAAAGCAAAATAAGCAGTAATTCTCTATGTCAGATGGTTTGATGCCTGGCAATGGAGCAAAGACCAATGGGAACACAAACTTAAGCGCACGTTTCCATTTACCTGTCATGTTCTTTGTCCACGAGATGGTACCGTGCTCTGAATGCTACCAGGTGAGCATAATACGCTGGTGCAGGTATAGAAACCGACCGTGTACAGCGCACATACGTGTGGCAGAGCTGGTAAGTCAGCAGCTGAAGTTCGTCTGCAGTAAAGCAGTTGTCATCCCACAGAACGTGGTAGTGCGAGGGACGGCTGGTACCCTGGGGAAGGGAACACGAGTGACCTCTCTGGCTCTTCCACGCAATCCAGTCGGATCAAGCTCAGAACAGGTCAGGCTACCCCGCCTGAACTCCTACCTAACGGCAGCCAACGACAATTCAGTCTCAAGTCAGCCCTAAGTGCATTCAAAGATGAGTAATCGGTCTAACATTTACATGATTATGCTACTCGAGTTATTCTCACTCGGAAAAAACCCCACATGGCTTCTAGACGTAATCCTCAACAATCAAAACCTGCTCCCAATGTGACTAAACCATGATTACATCACCTCTTAAAAAAACTCAGTTATTTCTTTTTCATTTTCAAGCAACATCCTGACAGTTTCTGTCATTAAGCTGACCCTCCGATGTGCTGCTGCTGCCGCCACATTGTTGGATGTAATTTCCACAGCCTGTAACTCACCAGTCTGCATTCAGTAAGCAAATAAACAAACACCCCTTCAGTCTTTCACACGGTTTACATCTGAAAACCCGATTCACTGTTCATTTCACTGTGGCTGTAAATCACAGGAGTAGCAAGTTTTGTTTTCAGAAATAACAAAGGTACAAGGTGTCCTCTTTAAAACACACTGAAAAACCCCATGTCTTACATCAATGTGAGTTTTAAAGGTGGAGCAGAGATCACCTCTTAAGCAAACAATACCGTTAGTCCCACAGTAATGTGTTACCACACAAAACTGAGCTAAATGAAACCTCCCTACTAAATAAGTGTTTATAAACACAAATGGCACAAAAGGGAGAAAACCAACATGCTCTAAATTGACATCACTTACAAAGAAACCATCGTACCTGTATTCCAGCATGGCTACAGAGGTAAAAATCAAACTCATACGGGTGTGTAATGTCTGTATCTACAGTAGTTCCAGCTGGAATATTGCCACTCCGTCCAACCTAGAGAAAAGGTTTGGTTAAAAAGTGCAGCCAACAACTGCGTACGCACCTCAACGGCCGTTAACAGCGCAGGTTCCTATTCAACATGTGCAGGGAGCTGCCCCACAACTGTCTGGACTGTGGCCACACAGGGCAGGGTCACCTCGCACCAGAGCAGGTTCAATGGTCAGCTCGAGCTTGGACTGACTTATTTGGAAGAACAGAAAAGTTCAGGGCTCCATCATTTTGTATTTTCTCCTGTTAGCACTGCCCTAGACTTGGCCCTAGTTCCTTACGTGACTATTAGCCGTAGTTCAGGGACAAACACCAGTATCAACGTGCAACGTGATAAAGCCTAATGGGGAGTTTTGGGGATTTTTTTAAACATACTTAAGGTCAGTGATTTTTCAATTGGGGCCACATTTTGTGCTTATCAATTCAACATTTTCCCTGAATGCAAAGCCAATCAGATTGACAGAGAAGCATAACATCCAGCTTTTCACACAAGGCTCCAAGAGAGGGCAAGGATTACCCTTTCAGTTCTGTCAGCACAGAACAGCCGTGTATGATGTCTCTTCTGCACCACGATGTAGGTTATCCCGGGCTGGTAATCTTTCTCCAAACTGATGCAGGCTTCTCGAATCGCTAGCAGTTCATAATACAAAACCTATGAGCACAAAAACAGAATAGTTTAGGTTTTCCTTCCGTTGTATCTGCACACACCACCTAATAAATGGTTTGCAGTTAACACTAAGCGCAACTTTGCCACGCAATTAGTCATCTTAGGAAGTACTTAGAAATAGATTGTTTCCCAAGTTCTAAGAGCTCTCCTCCCCAGACAGGAAAAAGGTTACAACTTCTCTTACCCAACACGCTTAAGAAATTCTCTCCTTAAAAGTCTCAATTACTTTGTGGTATCCTGGTACAAATGCAAACAACTCCGGCAGCAGCACGGCTTCTTCAGACACGAGAACTGCAGCTGATACGCAATAACACAGCCCAAAAAACCAACCTGTCGGAACTGCCCCTCGGAGACCCCATCCCTGTAGAAGATGATACGCGTGGGCTTGAACCGCGTCGACTTGTAGAACTGGATGAGCAGCTCCCTCACCATGGAGGCCAGATCCTGGATGATCTCCTGCCGGGGCCGCTGGACTCGCACCGTGGCACAGTAGCGGCTTGGGTGAGCATCCATACTACCTACAACCTGCAGGGAGGAGCACACGAGAGAGGGCTTCAAGATCAAACCTATACAAACAGAATTAAACACCCAAGAGCAGCAATTTTCAAGTAAAAGATGCCAACGCGCTCTTATAATCCACACTAATGCATATTCCTATAATCCAGAAGCAAACTTGTTGTCTTTGATGTTTTCTCACCTCTCACACAGAGAAACACTTCAGTTTGCCTCAGTGACTCTGAACAAGGATGCAGTTTCCATAACTGCGACCAGTGCCAAGTAAAATACCAAGGAGACAAAACAGCAAAGGCCTGACCACCCAACCACCACCTTGATCTCCTGCACCGTACCAACACAAAAGAGAAGTATCAAAACACATTCCTTGCACAATAGGCCTTTAATTACATTTTTCTCCTTTAAAAAGAAAAAAATATTAACGCAGCTTTGTGATGGTAATTATTTCCTTTAGAATTTTTTTGCAGAGATGTTACTTAATGCGAATGCCATTTTACCTTGATTTAAAAGTGAAAAGTTAAAATCTGAAGTAGGAAGCAGTGTTTATCTTTTAAAGAGATGTTTTTTAATAACACTGGAAATGTGCACAAAGAACTGCTATAATCCCTGAAAGGTATTTGACACAGGCAGAGCCCGCGAGTTGCGGTTACTACTCTAACATTTACCCAAGATGACAAAGCAACGCCGATTTAATACAACTCACAGCAGCTATGGAAGGCTTCTTTCCATCTCCAGCAGGAGGGTGCGTGACATCGGCTCCCAAAAAGATCACTGGCTGCTGGAACACAGAAGGTCTTCAAAAAGAAAAAAGTGCTAAGTCACACTTGCAGCTGAACGCTGGCGCAAGGTCATTGCTCAACGTGGGCTCCTGTTGCTCTTTCAGCTGAGCTGCAGCGAGCAGCTGCTGATCAGGTAACTCTGGCCAACCCCAAACAACGACAGCTTTGTGTGCAAGATGTGAACTTTGAAACCGCCAAAACCCACTGCCATTTCACTGTGGTGTTATTCTAGGGCAGAAAAGCTGCAGAGCTACACCTGAACGGCACAGACAGCTCCTTACAGCAAGCACCGTCCTGCAGGTGATGACACCAGTGCCTGGAGGTCAGGGAAGCACCACTTGGTACTGCAGCCGCCAGGCAACAATCGGCTGGGTACAGCACCACGCAGATTTAAGGATCAAAGCAGCAGGATGGGCTCCCAGCATCTCCAAAACGTTCTTCCATGCACCGTTGTTTTGTGTTTAAACTTTGACCAAGAACCACCCGGAGCCCACGCCATAAGAAATTCAATTCTACGTCAAATATCACCTGCTATTACCAGACAAATATTTCAACTTAAACTTGGCCATCTTTAAATTTTGGGTGCTAAGTACCAAACGTAACCACATCTGTTCGAACAAAACCCACGAAGATTCTTACCTTTGATGAGGTACAAGGATGTTGTTGATTCCTCCGAGTTTAACGTTAATCTTCAGGCACAGATTTGATAAGGTCTGTGGAGATGTTTTAATGACGTTCTTGACTTGAACACACTGAGTGGCCATTCCCAACAGCGTATCTCCCACACGCTTCACCTCCGCTGAGAAGCAAATATCAGGATACGCGTGAAAGTCTTGATCTTAGCTTAAGTCAAAATAATGTAAATTTACATACTCTGCAAAAAAAATCCAACTTATCAGCCTGTTCAGACCCACTTCCAATTAATTTTGTCTTCAGACACAAACCACTGGTTTCTAAAGAATGGTCCTGAAGAATTTTCTAACATGAGCTGGGCAGCGAATTTCTTCAAGCAGTATTTGACCGCACAGGTAGAGACAGAGGCATTCCCTTACCGTACACCGGCGTTTTCCCCGGCAGGATGACGATGATGAGCTGAAGCCCTGAATAGGTGTTCTTGAGGTGGCGAAACATGGGCTCCACGCTGTCTGCGCCCTGGGCGTATTTGCAGAAACAGGGCTGGCCCTGGATGGGCATCCCCGCGTCCTTGGAGATCTTGCGCAGCTGGTCCGTGAAACCCCTGAGGACGAGAAGCTTTTTTCAATTTTCACAGTAGTGACAGCACACAGCAACCGAAGCAGAAAGGGACAGAACCACCGTGTTATTGAAATGAAGATGATTCCAAATAGCTTTTAAACCAGCATTCTAAAAAACGTTCATTATGTGGAGGCCACACAGCCTTGAAACACCATAGGCCAGTATAGGAAAAAAAGAGTTTAGATGCCTTTAGTAGTTTCTTCAAGATCACAGAAGTAACTAGAGAAAGCAGGAACATCACAGCACCAAAACCCCGTGGTGTATCCAGGAACAGTGCTTGGACTGCAGCTTCCAGCAAGGAAACAAACCAGCCTGGATTCTCTCCCTTCCATCTGAGATGATCAAAACCAGGTGAAACGCTCCTTAGAAGTCCTATGCTCATGTTTTCCCTAAGCTGGCTCCATTAAGAGAGCAGCCCAAAGCCTAACTCCGACATGCCTTACTTCAGTATTTCTTCTCTGCATTGTCTCTGCGTGGCAAAGCAAGCGATAGCCCACATCTTGATCTCAACACCAGTGTGAAACTGCTTCCCTCGCATGTCCCATACTCCGTGGCTTGGGGTTGCCACTGTTCTGTTCTGTGGAAACAAAAGCAACAGATATTCAAGTGACTGCAAAAGAAAAACGCTATTTTCAGTGTCAGGACAACAGAAAGAAGTTTTACCATTCAAACCCTGATCCCTGTATTGCAGAACGCAACTGGGCTGAGTGAGACAGCCAATGTGCTTGGGAAATCACTCTTCAACAGAGAAAGAAAAGGAAAAGCCAACGCCTCACCCGTCCTCCGTACTGCAGCATGGGAGCCGGGAGCACGCGTCCCGTCACGTGGGCCATCTCGTCCCGCACTTTGAACTGGAACTCTTGAACAAACGGGTCTGCATCGTAATTTGCACTTCTCACCTGGACAAAGGGGTTTTCCACGTTACAGGAGCAGCGAACTCTAATCCACAGCACAGACAAAAGACCAACAGGACGCTGCAGAAGTGTTCTACAGTTCCCTTTATCATTAAAAAAGGCTCAGATTGAACAGCTCAGCACTAACAACCTATCCCCAGTGAGCACAATGAACACCATGAGGTGTATTGGATGAGATTTTTTTGTTCCCTTAGTTACTCAAGTGCTCGTTTATAGCACGCTTATTTAAGAGCATTTCACTTACTCACAGGATAGATCAAAAAGCTCTCTCCTTATTTTAGAAGTATTTAGCACCGCTATAAATTTTAGCATCCTATACTAACCAAAACCAGTATGGTGTAAAAATAGCAACAGGAATCATGGAAAAGAGAAGTACCTAAAACAAAATCTTACTTTCATGAGTTTGGGTACTAAAACACAAGTCCATTTCACTAATTTCTTTACAAATTGTTCTACTCCAGTGCCATTCAGTGGGCAGCATCGCTCCAAACCGAAGTTAAGGAACTCACCAATCTGCTGATTTCCTCTTGCCGATCTGGAGCCGATCTCGCCGTGGCCTTTATCATCGTCGACGTCTGATTGTCCGTGAGCTTCTTGATGCACCGCTGGCCAGCTACGATGTTACAGACCTTACAGGGGAACGGGAAGCATCGATACACAAGTGAGGATGCAGAAACAGTCCCAACATACCCTACGTACACAGCACTGTGCTGTCAATATAAAACACCACCCCCGACGTGCATAAGCAATCGCGTAGTTATTTCTCATAGTTCTGAACTTTAAAGCGCTTTTTAAAATGCGGATAGCCTTTAGTGAAATAAAATAACAACAAACATGTAAACATGGAAAGATGCATGCGCTGCAAAGCACAAGACTTCTTAATGTTTTGCAAAACGATACAATCTACCACTAAGAAGCTGATTTATCGAGTAAGCTCCTTACTTCTAAAGGCAGGTAGGTGTGTTTCTGTTCTTGTCCCACTTGTAGGCAAGGAAGGTGAGGGTATTTCAGCTGGAGGTTGTACTTCTCCCTGAAATACTGTGCTACTGTTCTCTCCACAGTCTGGCCATTTTCCAACTGCAAAGGAAAGCTGAAGAGACACGCATTTTAACAACGCATACTGAAATCTCAGTCGGCAAGTATCAGCATCCCCAAAATATCAAACATTAGGTCCTGTCACACACTCAGTGTTAAGCTATCACACACTTTATGCTCTGACAAGAAGCCTCTTACGTTTGATGACTTGCAGGCCTTCTTGTGACGTTGCAAACACGGTATTTCCTCCTCATCGTTCCACAGTGAGTCACCTCTACCTTTAGACCTGCACAGAAGTACCAAAACCCGAGAGTCATAACTCCACTAAAACCTGCACAGGAGACACAGAACATGCTCTGACCAACAGCTGTGATGGCCACTGCCAAACAGCACAACATAAGAAAATGTTATTCTCTAAACATCTTGCTTTCATGATGATTTCTGACTGATCAGGTATCCTCAAAACCAAACCCCAGTGTCTAACGTTCAGTGTAATCTCAATTCCTTGCAGCAGGTCCATTTAACAGCCACGTGACACATCTGACAGACGGCTGTTCTGACCATACTCCTTTGTTCCTCTCCTCAATGCCGTACACCTCTTAAAACCAGTTCCAATAGAACTGAAACTAAAAGGGCAAAAGCAAATTTCTACCTTATTGTCCATTTTCCCTCCTAGCTCTGTGTCCACATTCAGCCTGTAATTTTCCTTCATTTCACTAAGTTTAGCTTTTGAGCAGCTGAAGACCCTGTCTAAAAGCCCCCAGCCTACACACCAGACTCCAGACTTTATCTGCAATAACAAGGCCAGCAGCGATGGGAGCTCCAAGAGGTTTGCAGGGGCTATTTCTGCTAGCTGTGCGTGCCCTGTCTGTATGTGCATGGAGTAGACTCAACATCACCAAGGCCGCAGAGCTGTTATGTCTTTCCCAAGCCTAACACAAGAACAAACAGTTGAATAGAGCCTTCTGCCCTAAAGGTTCAACCCACAGCCTATGAGTAAAGGCTCTGGAGAAAGCAGCTGGGTGGCCTGTGCTGCTGAGGCCTGTGTGGACCATGGACTGGACACCCCACATCAAACCGGGTCCCCAAGGCCCTGCCAGTGACACCGTGGTTAGTTTTCCAGGGACACAGACCACTGCCCTGAAAGCATTAGGAGAAAATACAAAAAAGGAACCGTGAAGCACTGTGGCCAAGCAAAGGGCTGTGAACACAGAGATCTCTGGAACCCATTCACTGCTCTGTCATTAATCTGCTGTGACACTACAGAAGGCACTGCCCTCCCACAGAGCTGCTCATGGCCGCCAGCTCCTCAATGCAGGGTTTGTCTCACTCTACGTGATCACGGCTTGGCTGCAGTTCCCAGCTACTACAGGAGTAAAACCAACTACTGACAGCAAAGGTAACCTTTTGGTATTTTCTGACTGCTCTAACATAGAGCCTGAGGCATCCGAGATCAAGCAGAGATGGCTTCTCATCATCCAGCCACCTGCTTCCAAAACCAAGTCAACAGGTAGATGGGAAAAGGAGGCATGTTAGGACTGCTACAAAATAATCACAGAATCCCAGACCGTTAGGGATTGGAAGGGACCTCAAAAGCTCATCCAGTCCAATCCCCCTGCCGGAGCAGGAACACCTAGATGAGGTTACACAGGAAGGCGTCCAGGCGGGTTTTGAATGTCTGCAGAGAAGGAGACTCCACAACCTCTCTGGGCAGCCTGGGCCAGGGCTCTGTCACCCTCACTGAGAAGAAGTTTCTTCTCCAATTGAAGTGGAACCTCCTGTGTTCCAGTTTGTGTCTGTTACCCCTTGTCCTATCATTGTTTGTCACCGAGAAGAGCCAGGCTCCATCCTCATGACACTCGCCCTTTAAATATTTATAAACATTAATGCCCTTAAGGGTTTTTTTTTTTGCCACTAACGACTACTTTACAAACACATCAGCTTGTGACTATAGTGCACAAGTATACGTATTTTCTGCTTTCTAGTATTTCAATAGAGTTTAATCTTGCATGAAGTAACACAGGCATTTAAGGGCATACTGCAACTCTCCTGGCAGTCCTGGGGCCCTCACGATCCTAACCAGGAGGTTTCCAGTCCCTTACATTGGGCTCGTGTTACCTGGGACATAACAGATACGCATTTTTACTCACCCTTTATCTCTTTGGTGAATTTTACCCGATGAGAATCAGTCAGAGGTCTTGGTTGTTCATCAATATTATGAATGTCAAGAACTTCACACATAAACTGAATTACAGGTTGTGCTTTGTAGAAGGCAGTGGCAGAAACTAAAAAAAGCAAAATATTAAGTGTAAAAAAACCCAAACCACCAAGCCAGAACGTTGCGAAGCAGTATGGAAGTGAATGTTTTTTAAAATTCCACATAACCCACAATAAAATGTTGTGCAGAGCATTTTTAAGAACAGATTAGTAAGCCTTGCAACAGCTAAATCCACAAAAGGCAGCGCAGGGCCCACAGTGACACATCACTCTCCAGCACAGTCATCCTGCAACCACTCTGCAGGTCAGGGTCTTGGAAGGGTTTTTCCCCAGAGAACATTTATTTCTAGGGCTGTAATGGCCCAGAGACGTTCTCCTTCGACTCTGTACGGAGATGTGGGCAGAGATAGTATTAATATCTCTCTACTGAAGACTTTTTAGCATGAAAAGCCGAGGTTATTCAATATGCAATGTAATTTTGTCAATGATACGATCTGCTCAATTACTGAAACAGTGTTTGGTAGAAACACGAGCCCTGTTTTGACTATACACAAACGATGATAGCGCAGAGGTGAGTGCAACCCTTGATCTACCACAAGTTCTTGCCCTCCCTGCACACCACCAGCACAATCCCATTAAGTGACAACACTGTTTTCAGACAGGGCGTTTGGCTCATTCCATGGAAGAAAGAGCACAAACGGTCTGCTTGGCAAAGTCAGGAGCAACTGAAACAATACCTTCAGTGAGAAAGGTGAGGTGGCACTAGATACAGCTCAAACACACAAAAACCACTTTATAAATTTAAACTAAGTGGCAGCAATGGCAAAGCAACCCTTGCCAAGCCTTTGATCAGCTCCCCAGCTCCACGGACCCAACCCACCGCATTCCTCAGACAGGCTCAGGACCAGCACCTCGGCTGCGGTCACTGAAGGGACACGAGCAGCTCCCACCCCAGCGCCCGCAGCAACGCAGCCCGCAGAGCAGCAGCCTTTGCACAGAACCCCATGCAGGTCAAACCACCGGAACAAAACCAAGCGATGGGGTTAGAGCGCAACCTTTGCAGCCTCAAACCACAACGTGAAGTGGTTGCCCTGTAAATCGTAGCTCACAAAGTTCTTGAATTGCTCATTCACAGAAAGGACTGAAAAGTTTCTACTGCAAGAGTAACTGCTACGCTTTCTAATGCTGATAAAAATAACCTTGCTTCCCATAAAGTAACAGCACAGTACATCATAAATTGGTCTAAACTGATCCTCTTGCCTCACCTGAGTTGTAGTTATCTCAGCACCCATCATGTAGATGTTGGTTATTATTGGTTATTTCTCAGACTGGTAAGATTTTTACGTGCATTTTTCAAACAAGAGCTACACCACAGCTGCTGTTTGAAAGGCACTTTTATAAGAACAAACCCATCTGAAGTCACAGGAGTATCCTCCACAATTGAGGTAAACCAGAACACACGGACTTGCAAATTTTCAGTGTGAAAGCTCAGTATCACCTGCAACATTTTATTATGCTCCAAGACAGATGCTACGCACAACCTGACTTAGAGCAAAAAAGACAGACTATTTACCTTGGTTTTATAAAGCATTTCAAGCAGACAGCAAGAACAGAATGTGAATTAGGGAAAACTTTAGGCAGCACCTGCATCTCAACCGCTGACATTTTTCAATAGGGGTTTAGCAGCTAAATAGGCTCCGAGCGCTTACAGAACCAGGGAGCCTGACACAGGCACCAGTTGATCTCGGGTGCATTCATCTGGGACTCAATAAAGTGGTGCAAAGCAGATCTGGTTTTGCATAAGAAAGCCCATCTCAATTAGCCCTATTCACAGAAGTGTTGTGATCTCTTTTACAGAGTTTTCTGGGAAGTATTGACCACCTCCTGCGGGCAGCTGCATGGGGACACATCTAAAGCTGTTTGCCTGTGTCACTGCTGATGTACCAATACAGGAATTGAGTAGGAAAACAAGCCATGCTCAGCTTTTCCTTCCTATATAGGATTTTTTTTTTAATATGGCAGGTAATTTTCTGCCCAAACACTTACACGATGGCAAATCCAGAAAAAGAGACTGGGATTTCTAGGCAGCCTTTGCCATATAGGTCTGGTCTGAACTGGCTGAACAGGAAGCCAATGTGTGCATACGTACACTTCATTATTCCAATCTCACTGCTCTTATGACAACTTCTGCAGTAGGTTGACTTCACAGTTAATACTGAGTTTCACAAGGATATTACAAGATACAACGACTAAATCTTCAAACTGAGCAGCAGGACAAGGTGAAAACCCCTTGTGCATAACACAAAGTTTGAAAGTACTCTTATTCTGGTATAAATTTCAGCAAAATACCCCAAGCTACTTCAGCGCTTCATTATTTACAATATGGATTAAGAAATCAGTGTAGAAGATGGCTTCTTGTTCCTAAATCCCTCTGCACAGATGGCACCGAAAGTTCTCACCACACAAACGCGATACCACAAACTCGAGGAAAACGACTGAACGGCAAGGTCATTTTTTATCTTCGAGGCATGGTTGTCATCATCTTTATTCTTAACCCTGGGTCCAACTCACCATCAATATTGAGCATCATCTTCCACATGGCAGGCCGCACAGACTGATGGAACCCAAACCAGACCTCCCTGCCGCCGCCCAAGGGGTGGTCGTAGCCTTCGGGAGCTGAGAAAAAGGAGCGGCCCACGGGGGTGTACCTAGAGAAAAACATGGCCACACGTTTATGCTATTGCTCTCCAGATATAAAATACTGCTTTTCAAATAAAAAAAATCTACAATAAAGATTACAACACACAGCATTAATATTTTTTAGAATTTTGTGCACTGGGAACCTGTGCCTAGAACCCAGTTTAAACAATACACTCTGAATGCTTCTGTGTGAATTGCAGTGTTTTTAAACCCAGACATTTATGAGTTTTAGTAAAGCACAACCACTTCCAGTACTTACAACAAGTCAAGAACTAAGTCAACTTACCCCTTCTGATCCCCATCACAGCGGATTCTGTACAACAGCACTGCATACCCTGGACTGACCCTCAAATATCATTCTGATGTTTTATTAGGGGACATCTGAACACAATGTACACCGAGAAGTGATAACCATGGTGGAAACAAAGAACTTGAGAAACCCACATCCATGTGTAAAGGACCAGCATCAGTATGAAGTGAACATCTTTCACGCTGCCTTAGGATGCGGGGTAGCTGAGGAACACTGGCTTCCACCAACCACTTCCACCTACTGCCTGAAGCCAGCAATCAAGCGTTAAAAGTAACTTTCATTGACCAAAAAAAGCACAATTAATTTGTCCTTCTCCAATGTTTCAGGGTGCTGAGATAAGTAACAGTTTGTCAGTCTCAGCTGTGTACTGAAAACATGAGAAGCATGCACCATCGCTGGGTATATCAGTAAATGAAAAAGATTTGTGCTTTCAGTCACCGCCATCCAATGCACGATACTCAACTTGAGCAGAAAACACAAAAGCAGTGCTACAGCACAGTGTAATTGCTCTGTATTTCAATTAAGGCCCATTGTAAGTCTCTCCTGTTTCTTGATCCTTTCAAACAAATGCTCCACCTGCTCTGGAGTTTCAATGCCTACAGAAACACACACTGCTACGTAGCGAGCTCCAGTCTCCCCAGTCCAGCTAACCAGCGTAAGGTGAACGACCATTTCTCCTTTTCAGCTGTGAAGAAACAGGGATGAAGTCTCCCCGTGGGGATACGGCAGGGAAAGACAGACTGCAGGAAGAAGTGAACCTACTTCATGGAGGGGAGGTGTCGTAGCACCACATCGACAGCATGAACAGGGTTAGTGCTGATGGGTTTGTCGAGCTCCAGAGGCTCAGGCAAGGTTCTTCCTGTCAAAACTTCATGCAGCAAGTGCCAGCTCACCCGAGAGACAAACTTTATTGAGACTTTGAAGGGCCGATCTTTTCCGCCTTCCCCGGGTAATGTCACATCCAAATCCACCTGCGCGCGGGAGAGAAGCAGAAACAAAAAGCAGCTGTTTACATCTCGAGTCTGGTGGCCTTGAGCTTCCACTGCTTCCCTCAACTGGGCCAGAGACTCAACACCACCTCAGATAAGCAGGGCACAGCACATTCGATAAAAGCACATTTTCAAACGCACGAAATAAAGGGAAGCGCGTCCTCACCAAGCAGAGGAGGATCACGCAACTTCGTGGCCTTGAGTCAGTCAACTCTTCACTCAAGAGAAACTGTGGTCTGACTTTTTAATATGACTTCAGTGTAAGATGAGGTATTCCAGTCCATGGAACTGTGTATTTAATAGATTTTGCTGCAGAAAGAGGCTACTGAATTCTAGGGGAGGTTCTGAATGCAACCATTGCATGCACGTTTACATGCATTGGAATTTGTAGAAAATACATGAGGAGGACTCCAATAGTGCGAGATACTCTCAGTTTTCCTGAACTCAGCAATATTAGGAGCTGATTTGTTTCTCTTTCTTTCCTAAGCAGCTGTTACAAATAGCGTTTTTCTCAGTTATCTTACCCCAGTAGTGGCCACAGGAAGCGGATTGGCCGTATAGAGGCTCCTTTTGCCATCATAAACCGGTCTACGGTCCCCAAATATTGTCACTTTAAAATGCTGCACCATCGAGTCCACCACCTCCCTAGAAAAGTTGAGATTCACATTGAAGATGTTTCCAGAGAAGCATCAGACGCGAACCGGCTCCCACGCACCCCGTGTTTTGCTGAAGGAGTTTCAACAGTGCATTATTCAAGTGAATTACAGAGCACCCACTGGTATTGCAAAGAGACGCTTCACGTACTTCAGCTAAAATAACAGATAAACACTGCGGAATAAATCAGAACTAATGCAAATGCTCAACTACTGGAAAACATCATTACTGAAATAACTTCAGAAAGTCTCAGAAGTTACCAAGGCCTTTGCATAACCTTCATTACAACAGCAAGGCCACCCTTACCTTGGAAGAAACCCACAGGGCAGGATCATGAAAACCCCTCCAACGTCACAACCGAGAGCTGTGCCACGGCTGCAGTGCGGTTAATTGTGCCTGATAACGCTCATCTCTTCAGTTAACAGAGCTCCGAGTTCTGCCTGCACTGCACATAAAACTGAGGTACCCCAACAGAAAAGTCTTAGCTTTAAGGCCTTAATAATCCGAGTTGGCACAACAAAGTCAAGTAAAAGCCAGATCAAATCTGTACACAGTTACAGATTCTCCTAATTCACTTTACTGTAAGGTGATGGCAATAAAGGAAATAGTAACCTGATTCAAGGACTGGAATTGCACTTGAAAACAACCCATAAAATGTTCATCTTGTACAGAAAAAGGCTTCTTGGTACAGGCAGCAGATCTATCAGGAGACGCTTGCAACACCTCTAAATGAAACATGCCTCTGGGATTTGAATTCTTTAGGGATTCTTTGTTTTGCTGTGGTGCAACAACTGCACCTGACTGGGTACAACACAACTCCCTCATTCTACAGACATTAAACCCTTCTCGTCAGCACATGCAAAGCAGCATTCTCACAGAGCGGAGGTTACCAGTGTCACCATTTCCTGACAGGCAACAGGAACCTCAAGTACTTCAGGAAGACAATAAATACGGATTTCCTCTTCAACAGAATTAGCAGCAGCACTTTCACCTCTCAGCTGGGACGCGGGGAAAAGGAAGAGAAATTCTCCATCTCACAGCTTTGTTCACTAAACTCTCGGCATCCAAGTTAATTCACTGGCTACAGCACCTCAACATACTCAGACAACTTCAGAATATTTACTTCGTGCTCAGTCGTGCTCCTGCCTGAGTCCGTCACATTTGAAAGCCTCACCGAGCACCGGCGCACCACAAAAACACCACCATGCACAGGGCTAAGTGCACAAAACCCCCTATTTCCACAAGTGGCAGCTTGTGGTCACATCAGCTGTGACAAGAGCAGAGGGACAGAGCAGTGACGAAGGTGAAACACAGCTCTGGTACTCGTGTTCCCAGCTGCAGCCCTGCTCTCCATCTCCAAAGCACAGCATCGTTTACCTTCTGCTTCCCAGTGCACAACACAGCGCTAAAGAGCCAAAATATAAAGGGAAGTGAAAAGGAAAGGCAAACTGTAAAGCCTCCCTACAGGCACAGGTGAATTAAAACCCCAGAGCTACTCGGGAACTTACCCCCTGTCTATACCAAATACAGGCACGCTGACAATGTTACTCAGAAGCTGTTTCGGAATAGCTGAGTCTGTGTAAATCCACTGACTTACAAGTAACTGTCACAGCATGCCAAAGAGAGGGAGAAGTAAATTCCTAAGGTAAGCAGGTATCTGAGTGCACTGACTTCAACCTAGACTAATGAAAGCCACTCTTCTCGGCGTCATCCACTGCACACTACCAGAGGCATTTATCCAGCAGAGACTGTGCCCTTTTACTGGGCTCATTTATACAAGCTCTTGCCGTTAGTAACTAACATCTGCCACATTTTTACACACATTGAAGTCGGTAAAGTAGCAATAATTCAAATAACCGATTTCCCTACTTTGGAAAAGTTTTTCCTTTTAGATTTTAAATAACATTTAGTTGCTATTTTAAAGCAAATTGTTTCAACCCCCCTGTTTTCCAACATCTGCGGTTTCTCCCACTGTTATGGGAACAACTGACCACACGAATCACAGACCACAGCTGCTGCAGCAACCAGAGCTCTTCCAGCTTTGCCTCCCTCAGCCTATTTGAACCCAGCGTTTCCATGCAAAGGACATACAAGTGGTTTTAGTCAAAGTGAAATTCCATTTAACTCCACACCAAGATCACACTAGAAAAGAATCACACACCAAACAGTTCAGCTTCTCCTTGTATCCCTATGAGCGTAACAGTAAGATTACACTAAATATGAATTCCCATAGGACCATTATATCCCAGTTTTAGCAATTTATTAGTTTATATTAGTATATATTAGTTATAACAGACTAATAAGTAACTCCTCCTAAAAAATACTCAATGCAGAGAAGAAACACAGGAAATAGGAAGTGTTAGAACTTTTTGTTACCATCTTTAAAAAGCAAAAACGATTCTTACCTGTTCACCCTCCGAGGACACTTATCTGGTTTGATATCCACCTCATAGAGGTAGACATCAATCTTTGGGATTTCAACTTGGAAGCAGTTGGCCAGCAGTTTAATGGGCTTGCCCATGGTGCCATAGCCAGGCCGCCTGGGCACCATGAGCAGGGGCTGCGCCCCGACGGGTCCTGCGGAAACAAAATGAAACCACAGGTTAGGGGTGAGCACAGCACGGATGGGCACTGTGAAAGGCACCGGAAAACACTGACTTCATTGACATTCTTGTCTGGTTAGCTTTTCAATTTACTGTGCATCATTTAGATGAGGATCCTCAGCTCAACACCTGGGTTACTCACGCCTTACAAAACCAAGAGCAGTAGTGAACACAGTCCACTTTCAAGGATTTCTACTGCTATTTCCACTTAAAAACACCTCTTCCCAGTCTAGAAACAGCAAAACAACCAACATGCTTTGTAGCCCGAGTCTTAAAAAATTACTCATCATACAAATGTCAGGATGCACAGAGCAGTCGATTAAGTGACTTAAAAGTTCTCCCCTCTCCTCCCACTCAGTGACGCAGACAGCAATTCCAGCCCACTCATTTTCACAGAAGAGTTAAAATGTCAAGTGCTGGTAAAAATGTCTAACTTGTCCTTTGCTTAATCTCCACCACTCCAGGAAAAACAAAACCAAGCCTGCATTATCTTGAAGGAAACCACGTACCCAGAAAAGGTGACCACCAAAGCTAAATTCCACTGCAACATTTGTCTGGCTTTACCCAGAAACCTACCGAGAAACCCTGAGTGCGCTTGGCTTCGAGCCGTGAGAGAAAACAAAGGCATAAACCAAGCAGCATCGCTAAAACGCCCTCACAGACTACGCTTATGTGAAACTTGTTCCAAGCATCTGTTCTCCTCAACTTTTGCTTTATTTTAATGCTGTCACACGAGTAACAGCAGCTCTGCCATTTACTCCAGATATATTTTCGGAACGTAAGCACATGCACAAAGTTACTACCAAACGTTTGAGTGGCATAAGGGACTCAGTAGCTTATTTTAATATCACAAAGACACACGTGCCATAGCTGCTATTTAGTTCACATCTGCAGGACACGCCAACAAAACTGCTGAAATAAAGAAAACGCTAAAAAGTTTGCTCCAGTCTGGTCTGCCCCGTGTCCCCTCACCCCATTTGCTAAAACCATGTGAAATGTAAAAGCAGTTGCTAAAATCTGTGAGCGCAGAAGAAACAGCCAGGGTGAAGACAGCCTGCAGGAGGGCTGGTTTGGTGGAGAAGTCCAAGAGCAGGGACCAGGGATACACAGCACGGATGAAGGCTCTGGCACCGTCTCCTCTGGAGGTGCTACCAAGCTGAACTTCTTCACTCGAATGCTGGAGAGGAGATAAACCAAATAAACCCCTTTGTGGGAACGCCGTCCCTTATTGGTCCCTTTGCTGAGATTAACACAATCCTGGTTCACCTGCACAGGGGCAAAACCCACAGCACAGCAATGGTATTTGGTGACCAACATGAGGCAGGGTGCACTTCAAAACCCTGGGTCATAACAGAACCGCGCTGCCCAAAGCCAAGCACACACGAGGCCTCCGACCTCTGCTCGGTGGAAAACAGCAGCGAACAAAACAAGCAAATAGCGGCTGTTGGACAAAAGCTTCCTTCAGCCTCCCGTGTTCAGCTGCACCACACACGGCTCTCAGCAAACAGCTCACCCTGGATGCAGTTAGAACCCAGATTTTGGCAATCAGGAATTCAGTGACCAACAAATGAATAGGAATCACAGGCCTGCACGCTCTTCAGGAATAATTCTTAAAAATACAGCAGATTTTGTGTGCCACACACACGCTCCCTTGGACAAGCTAACTCAAACCCATGAGTATGTTGTAATTCAACTCTGCCATCGCTGCCCGAGGACAGCGGCACCCACTCAGAACACCCTGCTTTCAAAATACGCTCAATTGCCAGCCTGCACATTGTGAAAGTCTGTGTCACCGCCTTCAAACCCATGACTCAAACCCCAACACTACAGAAACACCAAGCGATGCTCTCCGAGGACAGCCCCTGCTCCCGTACCCTACCAGTGACTCACCCCACCTCATGCCTATGTCCTGTGTCAAACTGATGGGAATAAACACACAACCCAAAAATACCGAAAGCGGTGTTATTCTGAACAGCCCTGAACGGCTGTGACTGGCAGACCCAGTCCTTCACGTTATTTAACCACTGCAAAACCAAATTTGTTATTCTCTAAAATCTTCGCAGCGGCGTCACCACAGCATGGTCTGGCTCTGCTCTGGATGGAGGAACCTTCAGTCTCTCAGTGTTTAATGAACTCTTACCGCTCTGCCATTAGAGCATCAGATATGTCGTATGCCTCCTGTGCTCTTAAATAGCCAAGAAAAGCCATGACCCAAGTCTGCACAGCGTCCCAGAGCAGTGCTGGGTTCATAAAACCAGGGAAGGAAAGTCCCCAGCATTGACGTTCACCTGACCTATAGCACGGAGCAAGGAGTGCAGGGACAGGAACTAAAACTGAGCCTCAGAGATTCCTGGAAGGCTCTCGTACAGCAAGGGAGCACCTTTCAAGATATAAGATCCACCACTACGTAACCTGAGCATTTTGAATGTACTCATTAGAAAACACACAGGAAAAACCTGAAGAGAAAATACAACAAAGGTTTAAATCAGCAATAACCCAAGCTAGAAAAAACCCCAACCTCTTCAGGACCTAAAGGTGTGTGAGTGCCTAAATTACCGCTCAGAGCATTTGCTGAAGTCATTATTTACCAACATCCTTCATTGGCAGACTCTCTTCTCACAAGCGAACGCTCAATACACACACAGGAGCAAAAGCCCTTACAATTTATCAGCAGACCAGACCAGTGCTAAACCCGGGATGTTCCTCCCCTCCGTTCACACGCGGTGCCCGAGGATGGGCTGTGCTCCACACTGCACCAAGAGCCAGGGTCAGAATTGGGCATCTCCAACCCCGCTGTGTGGGGTGGGGATTCACCCCGGTACTGCCCAGGGGCACGCAAGGGACATCACTGTTGTGGTCTGTGCCTGCCGCACCAGGCTGCTAACACAGCTAACAGCCCACAGCC